CCCAGGAGAAATCATTGTATCATTTTCCATGAAAGACTTCAGAAAGCACATTCACAAATATTGCCTCATTAAACTGTCTTCCTTTAACATTCAATGTTCATACACACATGTACACAGATTCCTTTATTCATGGGAATGAGAGGACTTATGCATGTATTAAATTCTCCCTGTGTTTTCCTTTATCATTCAGTGTGTGCGCGGGCGCACACACGTATTCCTTTACTCACAGGGTGAGAGGGTCCAGGCATGCACCTTGTATGTAGTCAGCACTATGATGTCCATTATGTTGGTTCCATTGTATGGACTGGCAAGTGAAAAGTCAGAGATGTAGAATGACTTCCTTACCATCTGTCAGTTAACAAGACACATAGCTACTCTAGGCTTACACTTGGGTTTCAGACACTCTACTTGTCTCATCATTGAAAGTCTCTCTTAGAAGCCTCAGAGAGAACTCTCACAATTAGGTTAAAACTCAAAGAAAATAAAGGACTGGAATGGTCCAGGTGAGATCTAGGAATATCCCCCAAAGTCTATCCCTAAGGTTAAATTTCTTTCTCTTTGGGGTCATAGCCATAAATACAGGAAGCTAACCTGATGAAGAGATTCACTGGGGGCTGTGGCCGGGTCCTAGGCTTCCTCGGCCAGGGGAACAGATCTGATGTTGGAGGGCCTTTGAGTTGTTGATGGGAATAGACCACAGAGAGTTCTGCTTACCAGGTCTCAGGGCCTCCTGCATCAGTGTGTGTCTTGCCTCTTTTGTGCCGTTTACCAGAGTGTAGTTCTGAGAGACGCCCCAGCAGCTGTGTGGGTGACTGAGTCCTTTGGACCCATATTCGCTGGGCATGTCTAGTACTTGAGTGCTCAGAAATCCTCCTGGGAAGCCAGTGGGAACAGTCTGGATGCTCTGTCCTCTTTTAACAGAAATGTGTCTCATAGGTTGCCTTCAGTAAAAAAAAGAAATAATAGCTGCTACAGGTTAGCATTCTCTCTTGGTTACTTTTTTCTCGCTGCTGGGACAAAATACCTGACGCCCAAAATTAAGGAAGGAAAGGTTTATTTCGCTTACAGTTCGTGGAAGTTTTAATCTGTACTTGGCAGGATTATAAGGCAGAGTGGCACACTGCAGAGAGCTGCATCTCAGGGCGGCAGCACACAGCTAAACAACCACCACCCACCAGGGTGGAATGGGGGAGGAATGGCGGAGGAGGAATGCCCTCAAGCAGCTTCTTCCTCTCCCTTACATATGCAAACTATCCACCCCAGGGCGGGTGTAGCTCTCACACCCACAATCATTCAACTCTAATAGCCTGCCCCATGGTCACATGAGGCTTTGGAGGGGACACACAGACATAAACCATAACACATTCCTAATCCAAAGTCTGAAATGCTCTGAACTCTGAAACTAGTTCAGGACTGACATGATGTCACAGACTGAAAATTCCACACCATGAAACCTTTTTCATACACAAATTTATTAAAAATATAGCATAAAGTTATCTTCAGGCCATATGTATGAGATGAATAAGATGTGTATCAATAAGTGTTGTGTTTAACTTGGGCTCTATCCCCAACTATCTCATTATGTACATATCAATATTCCAAAAGTCTAAAATCTGAAATACCTCTGTCCTAGGCATGTCAGATATGAGACATTCAGCCTTTATTGACTGAGTTCTTATGTGCCAGACAGTGTCCTGAATTCTTTACTGTGATACTTTTTCTTCATAACAACTCTGAGTTAGAAGGTATGGGCCCATTTTATATATGAGAACACTGGGTATGATGAACATTAGCTATAAGTTACTATTTTTCTGTAACTATCCCAACTACCTGAGATAATCAACTGATGAAAAGAAAAGGTGTATTTTGGCTCACAGTTTGGAGATTCGGTCCGTTATTTCTTGACGTCATTGCTTCAGGGCTTTGGTGAGGCAGCGCATCATGACAGGAGGGTGTGACACAATTAAACTGCTCGCTCAGTGGCCATGAATCAAGACAGAAAAGAAAGGAGGGACGGGGGTTCCACAGTCCTCTTCAAAGACACATCTCTAAGGACCTAAAGACTTCCAACCAGGCTTCATCTCCTAACAACATCACTCTGGGGACCAGGTCTTTAATACTTGGGTGCCACTCAAGATGCCACCTATAGCAAAAACACACAACTAAAGCTCTGGAAGAAGCATGCGCACCCTCATCTACTGGCTCAAGCACATACATACACGCTGGGCTTAGAAACCAAACAAACAGCACAGACCATCATCAAAGCAGGGGAAACAATTAAGTTCATTAGCCACCTGTCTTCTGTGAATGTTTCTATTCTTAAAGCTAATTATCTCCGTTTAATTAGTGTTTTCTAGCTACTTAGTGAAAACATTTGATTAGCCTATTCTTAAGATGAAATTTTTGAAAATGATGAAATCTGAACTTTGGTTGGCATGTAAACAACCAGTTATTCATTTGGTTGGTGGATACTAACTGGAATCAGGGCCTTTCAAATGATGAATCATGGTTCATTAGTGGATTATGAAATCATTTTAATGGATCACAAACAACATTTAAAGGATGGGGTAGGATAGGATAGGAGAAGATGGCGTAGCATAGCATAACACAGCATAAAATAATAGTGCCTTGAGTACAGCAAGGATAAGTGTTTTGTGTAATTTTTATTTCAATAATACATATGTACAGCAAAATATATTTCTTACTATATGTCATAGTTTTTAAAAACTAGGTTTGGAAAGAAAAATGTGAACAGATGCAAAATTCATTAAAATAGCTCACTATTCCTTTCTGTGATACAGTTTTCCCTTTAGAACCTTTCAGAACTGTCCCTGGCTTATCTGCATAGAGGTATTTTCAAGGAGAGCTTTCTGGACAGATCTTTGTGTTAATCTTTCCCCAGAGCATTGATTAGATGGATGTGCCTGTTAGATTCAAAACATGTTTTGGACACTTAGGGAGGGCAAAGTGACATTTCCAAAAGCTGTGGTAAGTGAGTAGCAGAGGTGGAACCAGAATTAGATTATTTATGGATTCTTTTCAGACTGGAAAAAAGCGGGATAAGCAATGGCTCTCATACCAAGGTCAGTGAGCAGCTGTTCCTTCATAGATGGAGCTAGAAAAGGAAAGAAATGGACTTTCATTGCAGCCAGAGGGATTGGGCTGAACCTGGGGAGGGATGTCCCTGTGGTAAGGAGTGTGTGTGTGTGTGTGTGTGTGTGTGTGGTGTGTTACCTCGCTGGAAGTTTCCAGAGGAGTGCAATCAACTGTCTTTTGCCATGGCATTCTTGCTGGAACAGGAGAATAGGTGAGTCTGAGTGTTTTCCCACCCATGGATGTCCTCACTCATTTGGCCACAAACCCCCTCCCCCACCCTTAGCAAGGATAATCTGGAGCTGGCGGTGATTCTGTCCCCAGCCACGGAGGGATATGATTAATCTCATGGTGCTCTGCTGGGCTGCAGTCAGCTTCGCTTTTCACCCGGATGTCAAACCAAGCCTGCAGCAGCTGTGATCAGCTGTTGGGAGAGGGGGAGTTGGGCCCAGAGTAGGAGGCCCCTGGCCTCTTGCCAAGTGCTAGTTGAAGGATGAGTATCTACCACTAAGTTTGGGTCTTTCTGAGTCTATTGCTGTGCCATTTCCTATCATTGGGACTCTCTCATTTTTTTTTCCTCTTCTCTCATCTCCCCTCATCTCTATATAAAAGCTGGAAGCCACCATGATTTTATTTAGAATTTTTGTGGCAGCAGGTTCTTTCAGTGCAGAGAAGGGGACCAAAAAGCTCCCAAACTGCTGTCAGCAAGGTGTTTTGTGAATTCAGCCAGAGTCACCATCTTACTTTGCCTAATCTTCTTTCTGGCCAAGAACCTAAATGTCTCTGAGTCTCTGGGTCCTCCTGTGTTATGTGGGATAACAGCGCCTGCCTGAGTGTGTGATCCTAAGAATAAAAGGAGAAATGTCCAAAATAGCCCTTCTCAGGGGAATCAGCACATAATCCATGTTTCGATTATGGTAGGTTCCCTCCCTGGTCCCCCTCTGGACAGTGTCCCTGCCTGCCTTCATCAGCAGACATATGCATACTGCTTAATGGTTTGATGTCACCCAGCTCTGCCTCCAGCCTGAGGCTTGTTTTGCTTTTATCGAGCATCAAAGATTTGTTGACTTCCATGCAGGAGATAATTGTACAAGGGGGCACAGCTCTGATACCAACCCTTCTCATTTTTCTAGGCTTAGAAAAATGAATCTGAGAAATTGAACTAGTTTTAACATGAGTCATTCCAGAAGAGGTGTGAACTGACCAACGAGCAAAATCCCAAGGCTTCTCTTTGGGCCTGGAGAGAGAGGCACAGGCTCGTGTGAGGCACTGACATTTTGTTCTTTAAATCATGTGGATAGATCATGAAGATCATGAAGGTTAATAAAACAGGACTGCTTTCACCCCCGATTTACCCAGCCTTCAGCTTGGGTCAGTTCAACAGTGCAGTCAGAATCTGGATCAGTTCAACAATGCGGTCAGAAAGTCAGGCCAGCACCTCTGGTGGTCAGAATGCCAAAGCATCTGGCTCTGGAGAAGACCGGGATAACTTGCAGTATCTGCAGGTTTATGGAGCCCGCAGGCTGCTGCAGAGCAGTAGATGGGTGGCTGTGGTTCTCCTTACCCTCTGAGAGTCTGCAGACAAATGGAGAACCAAGATGGTCCTACCAGAATGGGTTACTCTCATGATCTCTAGATTCCTGATATCAGAGAAGTTTGGGGGGCTGATATTGGGGAGAGAGACAAGGAAGAAGCATTTCCAGGCAGACCTTATATTTTTTGGATTTTGATCCTTTTATTCTGTGAGGTATTTGTTGGTTGGGCCAAAGATTTCCTCTTCTTTCCTCTACTTCTTGAGTCTGAGAGTCAAGAGCTTGCCTGATGTTTGAACCCTTGAGAAACCCAAAGAAGTCCCACTGATTCCTCTGTCTTCACCTGATCTTAACATCATATTTCTTTTGGGGCAGGTTCAAGGATTACCGAGAGCCACCATGGGCACCGAACCCATATGAGTTTTCCAAACAGTACTGGTCTGTTCTGTCTGCCCGACTGGCTTTTGTCATAATCTTCCAGGTGAGTTGTTCAGACAAGGAGTAGCTAGTTAGGATCTGGGCTGCTGTAGGCTTTCATGGTACATTCGTCTCTTGGTATCCGCAGAGTACTAGTTTCAAGTCCCTCAGATACCAAAATCTAAGGATATGCAAATCTCTTACATTAAATGGTGTAGTACTTGCATATAGTCTATGCATATCCTCCTGTACACTTTAAAACATCTCCAGATTACTGGTAATATCCACTACAATATAAATTCTATGTAAATAAGTGCTATATTATATTAATTAGGGAATAATGGCAAGAAAGGAGCCTGCACATGTTCAGTACAGATATCATTTTGTTCTCTGATATATTTGATCCATTTATTGTAGAATCTGAGGATGGGAAATTACAGACATGGAGGGTCAGCTATATTCTGTGACACAAGGCACATGTTCCATTCCCTGGGTGAAGCAGGAAGACTCCTAAGAGGGTTTCTTTTAATGGATGGACTTTACTGAAAGAGAATAAAACAGAGAGTAATGTTACTGGACAGATGTGGAGTAAGTTGCAGGGGAGAGACAGCTTTCTGTTCAAATCTAAGATGAAGAAAGGAAAACAGGAAGGGCAGTTGAAACCAGAGTCTCAGCCCTTGTGCAGACAGACAGCCCATCTCATCTCTGCAGGCTGAGATAGGGCTCAAGTTCTGAATCTTTCTTCTTGAGCTCTTAGGACCCTCCTTTGTTAATGTTGTTCAGCCACTGAGACATCTGGTGGGAAGGGCCCCCAGAGCCATCTAGCCATCTCGGAATGAATAGTAAACTCGAGCCCAGTGATTCCTATCTTTGACAATAGGTACAGCTCCAATTGCATCGCTGAGATTCTCTGAGGTCCAGGGCCCCCAATTCCCACTTGGGTCCTGCCGGTCTTCGAGCAGGGCCAGAGAACAAGCCCAGATCCTTTTCTCTTCGTCTCCCCCAGGCTTTTGTACTCCCTGAAGGCAGATCCCTGGGGGGCTCTAAAGTATCCTACCCCCCCAGACCCCAGCCCAGGAAGTGGAGAAGCCCATCGGCTAGTCTTTCACCTAAAGAAGACAGCCATTCTTCCTCTGCAGAGATGGGGCGATACACTTGAAAACTTGCTCAGACATCCCCCTGTGGCCCCACCCGCAGAGTCTCCTCACTTTCCCATATGTCACATATCACAGGCCACTCACACTGCAGAGGATAGAGGAAGAACATATGATGAGTTAGGTCTCCAGCACCTAAGGTGCCTGGAAGCCTCTGGAAGCGGCAGCTGGTCCCCAAAGTCTTTCCTTGAGCCTTCTCCTAGGAGCATGTAAGATTCAAGGACTTGGATACTGCTTGGTATCTCAGGGAACAGAAGACATACAAGTGTGTAACCAGCAGCCAGAGAATGACTGGAGGAGTGTGCTGGGTAAATTTTTGTGAAAGGGAAGAGAAAGAATCAGATAATAAAGAGAGCTGGCGTACATTGGGCCATGCCAGACACTGTCACATTTATGCAAACAGAAACTGTTCCTAGGAGATGGACATCTTTGCCTTCCTGTGTATCCACAAGAAGGGATGTGGCCCAGCAGCCAGAAGAAAGGAGCCTAATGCAAGCATGCAGAAAAGCTTAGAACTGCTCAAAGAGAACTACTTGCAGGGGGTCCTAGACAGTCAGTGTGGTGAGAATGGCTTTAATGAATAGAGGCATAATAAGCTAAATGGGAATAGTAGGCAGGTTTGGCTGATACCAGAGGTCAAAGTAAATGCCAGAATACTATGTCTGTTGTTAAAGACAGCTGGCCGAAGGGATGAGATGAGTAACGGTCACAGCTGAAGTCCACAGCAGTCACTTCCTAGGAGGTTCTGGACCATGGCGCGCCTGAAGGCTTTATGATGAAGAAGCAAGAACAGGACGTCTGAGGACATTCTGAGGAGGGGAGGGGAGCACTACACATCCCACTGAAGAGAAAGAACGAGAGCTATCACTTGGGGAGCCTCACCATGTGCCAGGCACCCTTGAAGATGTCTGATTTGTATTAACCCACTAATCCACACAATAGTAGGGCTGCCTGGAGTGTTACCATTTTTCCAGTGGGACACCATTTATCATTTAGGACACTGAGGAGCAGGTGTCCTTACTGTTGGAGATCACTCAGCCAGTGAGTCACAGAACCAGAATTAGTACAGAACCCATGACTGTGTTCCTCACTGCCCCATACCACCTGCATCATGATGGGGACAGTGCTTCTGACAGGCCAGGAGTGTGGACAATAGGCTGCTAATGTCCACCAAAGTCTCATAGAACCATGGCACCACACAGGTCTCTCCACTCGACTCCTCTCCCTTGCTTTCTGCAGAACCTCGTGATGTTCCTGAGTGTCCTTGTGGACTGGATGATCCCAGACATCCCCACCGACATCAGTGACCAGATCAAGAAAGAGAAGAGCTTGTTGGTGGACTTCTTCCTGAAAGAGGAGCATGAGAAGCTCAAGCTCACTGATGAGCAGGCCCAGAGGAGCCCGGGAGGTGGGGATCGCAGCAGGAGGAGCCGGGCAACCAGCTCAGCTCCCTCTGGCCTGAGCCCACCTGGTAGCAGAGCATCTTCCGGCTCCCAACACACCAACGTATGAGCAGTCCCGCTTCGTGCCAGAGGGGGCGCTGCAGCAGTTTAGCGCATGCGCACACTGGCGCAGGTCCAGTGAGGGCGAACCTGTGGCTCACAGCGCGCTATTTGTTATCTAAAAAGATTGCCATCACTGCAAGCCAAGTGTACTCCTCCGCCTGGATCCAGCTTGGGGGGCAGCTCAGAAAGGAAGTGTCTCTGAAAATAGAGAAAGGAAAACAGAGCGAGAACGTGTGTTAGAAGGAAGGGAAATGATATTGCTTCTCTGAAATCTCAAGCTTAAGATTCTTTTAGTCCCCTTGTGAGCTGTGTTCTTCTGGGGGATTGGTACCTTCTTGGGGTCTCTCCATCTTGGAGTCCTCAGGTACCAGGTGCCTTCTTCTCATGTTCTCGCTCTTTATCGTGGTTCCAGATGACCATAGGCTGCAAGACAGAAGTACAGGCAGATCCCTGCCTCAATGTAAGTGATCACCATGTCCTTCCCCATCACCCCCTGACACTCCCTCTGAGCCACTGGCAGCTGGGGAGGTCGCAGGCCTTGGTGGATGCAAAGTTTCAGGGCTGATTGTGTGGACACAGGGCATGGTGCTGAGGACTGGGGTTCAATCTGAGCTCATCTGCAGTTCATGTCACAGGGACGCCTAGGGTTCAGTGCAACCAACTGTCATTTTATGCAGATTTAAAATAAATGGAAACATACTTTTTAAAGATGTATTGTTGTCTTTGGTGCCTTGTCTCTCTTCCTCCCTCTCCTTCCCTATACTACCTTCTCTCTTCCTCTTTTTCCCTCCATTTCTTTCTTCCTTTTCTTTCCTTCTTTTCCCTTTCTCTTCCCCTTCTCTCCCATTCTCTCTCCCTCCCTCCCTCTCTCCCTTGCTCCCTCCCTCCTTCTCTTCCTTTTTCTCTCCCATTCTCTCTCCCTCCCTCCCTCTCTCCCTTGCTCCCTCCCTCCTTCTCTTCCTTTCTTCCTTCTTCCTTCTCTCACTCTTTCCCTCCCTCCCTCCCTTCCTTCCTTCCTTCCTTCCTTCCTTCCTTCCTTCCTTCCTTCCTTCCTTCCTTCCCCATCTTTCCTTTCTTCCTTCCCCTTCTTTTCTTTCTTCCTTCCCTTCCTTTCCCTCCTTCCTTCCTTCCTTTCAATATTTATTGAGCTCCTACTAGGTACCAGGCATTGTTCTCAGACTAGAGGTACAGAGAACAAGAAATAAAGTCCCTGCCTGCCTCATGGAACTTGCATTCTGGAGAGGGACAGATGATAAGCCCATAAGTATGTAGCTATTTTAGATGGCAATAAGTGCAACAGGGAAAATACTATGTACGACAATGTGGATAGAAAGTGTGTTTGGGGTGGGGCACAAGGTTGAAGGGTTCTACCATTTTATGTACAGATTAATGACAAAGTTCAGCTAGTGAAGAGATTGTATTGCACAGTGGTAAAAAAAACCATAGTCAATTGTAGCAGCTCCCCTGGTCTCTGTGGTGAGAAGATTTTCATGGGTAATTGGAAGTAAAGGGCAGACAGCTTCACTTTCTCCTGTTCTCCAGAAACAGCTTCATGGTAACTCCATCCAGACCTGTCCCCAGTTCCTTGTCAGCCAGTTTGACTGGAGTCCAAGGTAATGTCTGAATGGAGGGCCAAGCTTTTGGAAGTGAGGCTGTTGTTCTGATGATTCAGCATGCCCAGGGAAGGAAGATCTCCAGCGTGGGCCTCAGTGCTGGCCACCATCATTTCTTATTTCCTCCTGAGTGTGTGCAGGATTGCACTAACCCCAACCCTTGCTCTGAAAAGTGACCCCTTCTTTGATGGGGATGACAGGGCATAAATACAGCTCTAATCATGTCCTGTACCAATCATAGCCAAGCATTTTTATTATCAGTCGTAATCATATCACTTTTTAATACTCACACTTGTCATTGGGACCTGGATTTGAACTACAGTGGCATTAAAACATTACGTCATCTTACAACAGGCTTTGCTCATTTGAGGAGTGAGTGCATAACAGGAGGAAGATTCTACTTCAGCAGATATTCATGCCATGGGGATTCTGAGCCAATACTAAAAGGATGTCCCTGGGACTCCTGCCAGTTCTGCTGGCATTGATCTTTCCAGGAAGCAATGACTGTCAACGATCAAGCATTGCCTCTGTCACTGAAATGCCCAGTTGGCACCCGCTGAACCCCTCATGCCCACGGCTGCCTATGCTGCTCAGAGCCTCACTTCTTTATGACTACATTTTTATATATGATTAAGGCAAAATTTGCACACCTGGAAAGATTCAGACAGTCCAAAACCAAAACAAATGAACAAAAAATGAAGCCAGGATCACCCGTAATCCTCAAATCTGTAATCAATATTGGCAACTGTTGTGTCCCCCAGAGTCTCATTCCCTGTCACCTATTTGTTGTTTTAATGGGTTCATTGTTTTAATTAGGCCATAATGGACTATCTTGTTACCTGTTTTCACTTCATGTATTTCATCAGTCCTTATATCCCGATAAGTATGGATCCACTCCTTCCAAAATATGTCCAAAGTATGTCCTGACCTATTATGTGTCAGGCGCTTGGGATAGATTACCTAACAAAATAAATATTCTTACTGTTATGGAGCTCATGTTCCGTGTACGTGTGTGTGTGTGTGTGTGTGTGTGTGTGTGTGTGTGTGTGTATAAGAGACAGATAAACAATGAGAGTAAACAAAAGAGAATAAATGCTACGGCAGAAAGATTGCACAGAGCAAGGCAAGGGGAATTACTTGTGGAGAGGAGCCACATATTATTTCCATTATATAAGTGAGCCTTTTGCTTTCCTTTTATCCTGCTTGCCCCATTCTGCTAACCACTTGGGAATGTCAGCTTGTGGTCCCAAGGGGGACCAGGTCAGATGGGGCCACCTCAAGTGTGCATGGTATGAAGAAGGGAGATTTAATCTAACCATGGAAAGATTTCCACTCTGAGAAGGCTCAACTTTCTCCTCCTCTCTCATGAAAAGCACATTAATAATCCTATGATTTGCCCCAGTTCCTGAGCACTGGTCATCTCAGGACCATGTGTGCGTTACTAGCAAGACCACCAGATGTGCCCACTTTTCCCAGCAGGAGTATTGTTTAGGCTAAGGAAGAAAACTTTTTAAATAATCTGTTAATCTGAGTGGAGAGATGGTAGATACAATCTTACAAATAAAACTTGGGTGAGCTCTTTAAGGAAATAAAAACTTTCTCTTCTGTTTCAACATGCAAGAATATTGTGGACAAAAATTGAAAACACTGAAAAACTCAAAAGAAATCACTCATCATCCTGTTCCCTTTTTCTAGAAACAGGAATAGTTAATGTCTTGCTCAAGTTTGTGTTCTTACATTGTACATGTGGTCACATGCATTGATTTGAGATAACAATTAACTTGTTTAATTTTGAACATCAAACACATTTATTGATGACTTAGAAAATGTGAAAAAGTAAAACGTAATTAAAAAGTTTTAATCATCCAAGTTTTCACCTCCAACAGAAAATTTGCAAGTCACCTTTTTTTCCTTTCACATATGGTTGAGGTTACTTTGCACAAACTAAGTTTTTTTACTTAGCAGAGAAATGTCCACAAGCCCTAGGTAAAGTTGTTATGAAGAAGGGCTTCTTGATAAGCAGCACCTACAGCTGCATGGTTCACCAGTCTTCCCTTATGACGAACAGAAATGAATGGAATCGACTTGATGGTTGATTGAAATGCTTTTATGAGTACGTTTGAAGAGTAAGAAGCACTTTATGCTTCCCTCCTCGCCTTTCCAGATTGGCACTGTCTACAATCATCTTATGAGAAGGGAATCACACTGTTCTCAATAAGTCCTTTTTTCTGGTCCTGGAGACTGTACCCAGGCTCAGTGAAAGCTAGGCAAGTGCTCAGCCACCGAGCTACATCTTCAGCCCAAGTTTTTTAAAAATGCAAAAAACCCCCAAAACATTAAATTCCTGATCAAGAAATTAGTCATGACTTTGCTGTACCTAATTTGTTGTTCCATAGGATAGTGGAAGTCTTGTTTTGCTAATCTTTCTGGCACCATTTTCTAAGCTTGTACATAAATCAGCCATTGAGACAAAAAAAGGAACTAGAAAGCAAGGGTACCAGTGCACAGTCGCTGTGCTCAGAAACCACAGGCACTTCCACTGGGCTGCGGAAGGTGTGTCTGGGAGCAAGAAGGAGCTGGAGAAAGGAAAGGGCCCGTGGCTTTGCCTCATAGGTTCTTTGAAATTATAACCGGGCTGGGCTTTGGGTTAAGAATGAATTAACAAAACTCTTGGGCATTTTCATATTATTGCATTTATCCCTTAGCTTGACAGAGTACACCTGCAGGTTTAAAAACAGTTGCAGTGGAGTTAAGAAGCCATCACAGCCCCTTCAGGACATAGATGCTCATTCTTCTAGCTACTAATGTTGGCGCTTGAGTCCCTCTCAGAAATGCCTGCAGTGTAGGCAGCTTCTTGGGGCAAGATTAGGGCACTGCTCTTGGGCTTGGCACACCCAAGGACTTAGCAGTGCAGCAAAGGGGGAAAGACCAGCTGGCCTCTGCTCAGGCTTGCGTGAAGCCCTCGACCACACCCAGCCCAGCTCAGGGCTCCCTGCGGATTGGCTGGGTTCTGTCAGCTAGCTCCCTGCAGCTCAGTTTCTCCCTCTGCCCTGGTTTGCTTCCTCCTTCCCCCATCTGCTGTTCTGGAGCAGCCGTCCCCAGCCTCCTGTAAGGAAGCTGTGCAGGTCTTGTCCTGAGGCAGCTTTCCAGCTGACCTCACACACAGGCTACTAGACTGTATATTCTCTGAGCATATGCATTTCAGAAACTGCTTTCATGTTGGAATAATGGCTTGGCTGGATCCATCATTCTCAGATCGTCATTCTTTCTTTCAAAACATTGTGGCTATGGCAATTAATCCACGCTCTTCCAGGTTGCAGAGGAAGAGCTCTGGAGGAAGGCTGATGGATATTCCTTTGTAAGTTGTTTTAATTGTTCTACTCGTTTGGTACTAGCAAGATTTTAAAA